ATATACCTTATAAATACTAAAAAAAATTTTTTTAATATACTGTTCTCACTATGAAATCACCCAATCTATAATTCAACCTTTAGTGGACCCATGCCATTAGTATGAATTTTGCCAGGTATTTGTCCCATAATTGAGAATCGTGTTTATACATCATTCTTTTATGAGTTTGGTTCTGGGCTTAATGATTTATTTAACAAGGAGGCCACTCTAAAAGAGTAGCTTTCAAACAATTTTTTTTTTTTTTGGAGAGGTTTTCACTATAGGGCGCGTGCGCTCGCCAGACAGAGAGAGACATAGAGACAGAAAGCGAGAAATCACCCCCCAGGGGGATGGTCATGCCGCAATCCCTTCTCCTCCATTCTCCTCTCGGGATCTTGGGCACGCACGCACACACGTCCGGCATGTTTTTTTCGTTGTTGTTGTTGTTTTTGTTTTTGTTTTTTTTTTTTGGAGAAGTTTTTGCTATAGGGCGTGTGCGCTCGCCAGACAGACAGAGAGAGAGACAGAGAGACAGAAAGTGAGAAATTACCCCCCAGGGGTGATGGTCACGCTGCAATCCCTTCTCCTCCATTCTCCTCTTGAGATCTTGGGCACGCACGCACGTGAGTTTTAAGCCACCAGGTCCGGGACGCGAACCACGGTTGACTACGTGGGAGTTCAGTGACATAGCCATTACACTAACTGCTGGTCCCCTGGCATGAGTTTTAAGCCACTAGGTCTGGGACGCGAACTGCGGTCGACTATATGGGAGTCCAGCGACATAGCCATTATGCTAACTGCTGGTTCCCATAAACTTTATAGAAGTTAATCAAAGTAAAGCTAGCATTTTTACATCATGACACATACACATGCATACAATGAGTATAACTGAAAAAGAAGTTTGAACAAATGTTTATTCCAGTTATGTGCAAACTAATTCTGATATTTCTAATTCTGTATCTTTTACAAAGAAAGTTCTGATGATCACTCATTAAGCTTGATTCCATAGTATACTCATAAATTGGGAACCAATCTTTGAAAAACATTGCTCTTGAATCCCTATTAATCACATTTGAAATCCGTCAATGGGCATACTTTAGTTGAGATTCTATCTTCCCAATGCAAGTTACTGCTCCTTATTAGCTAATATATTTTATGAGAACAATATTGACACGTGATCATTTTTCTGTAGAAAGTATACTACCCTGAGTGCCTTGATCTTTTCTTATAAACAGAACAAAACATTTTCAAATATAGAAATCATATCCTGAGAGAAAAATAATAAAGATTTAGTAAAGAACTAAAAAATATATTGAAAGGATAAAATCTCATTCCCTGGTGATACAAAGTACCAAAGTACATGTTATATTTCAGGTAGCAATCCAAATTGAATTCTTTTTTTTTTTTTTTTAGTTCTTGCTATAGAGTGTGAGTGCTAAAGAGTGTGAGTGCTTACCAGAGAGAGAAAGAAGAAAAGTAAAAAAATCATCCCCTGGGTGGATGGACACAGAGCAGTCTCTCCTCCTCTAGCCTCTTCTTGGGATTTTGGGAATGTACGCACACATACTCGTGTGATTTTCGAGAGAGAGACAGAGAGACAGAAAGTGAGAAATTACCCCCCAGGGGTGATGGTCACGCTGCAATCCCTTCTCCTCCATTCTCCTCTTGAGATCTTGGGCACGCACGCACGTGAGTTTTAAGCCACCAGGTCCGGGACGCGAACCACGGTTGACTACGTGGGAGTTCAGTGACATAGCCATTACACTAACTGCTGGTCCCCTGGCATGAGTTTTAAGCCACTAGGTCTGGGACGCGAACTGCGGTCGACTATATGGGAGTCCAGCGACATAGCCATTATGCTAACTGCTGGTTCCCATAAACTTTATAGAAGTTAATCAAAGTAAAGCTAGCATTTTTACATCATGACACATACACATGCATACAATGAGTATAACTGAAAAAGAAGTTTGAACAAATGTTTATTCCAGTTATGTGCAAACTAATTCTGATATTTCTAATTCTGTATCTTTTACAAAGAAAGTTCTGATGATCACTCATTAAGCTTGATTCCATAGTATACTCATAAATTGGGAACCAATCTTTGAAAAACATTGCTCTTGAATCCCTATTAATCACATTTGAAATCCGTCAATGGGCATACTTTAGTTGAGATTCTATCTTCCCAATGCAAGTTACTGCTCCTTATTAGCTAATATATTTTATGAGAACAATATTGACACGTGATCATTTTTCTGTAGAAAGTATACTACCCTGAGTGCCTTGATCTTTTCTTATAAACAGAACAAAACATTTTCAAATATAGAAATCATATCCTGAGAGAAAAATAATAAAGATTTAGTAAAGAACTAAAAAATATATTGAAAGGATAAAATCTCATTCCCTGGTGATACAAAGTACCAAAGTACATGTTATATTTCAGGTAGCAATCCAAATTGAATTCTTTTTTTTTTTTTTTTAGTTCTTGCTATAGAGTGTGAGTGCTAAAGAGTGTGAGTGCTTACCAGAGAGAGAAAGAAGAAAAGTAAAAAAATCATCCCCTGGGTGGATGGACACAGAGCAGTCTCTCCTCCTCTAGCCTCTTCTTGGGATTTTGGGAATGTACGCACACATACTCGTGTGATTTTCAAGTTTCCAGATCTGAGACGTGAACCACAAATTTGGCCATATTGGATTCAGCACCTTAACCTCTGTGCCAACTACTGGCCTGCTATTTACCTTTCATATAACAACAACAACAACAACAATCTGTGATTCAAGCAACTCTTCTAAAAGTAGGTATTTCAATGTTCTGAGAGAACACTTGGGAAGATACTAGCACTGTACTATGGTAAAAACTCTTTAATTGCCAGAGGGTATGCGAGCTTGCTAGACAGAGACAGGGAGAAGGAGAGGGAGAAAACACCCCTCAAGGGGATGTTGTCATGCTGCAATCCCTTTTCCACCATTTCTCCATTCTGTTGGGATTTGGGCACACATACACATGACACTGTTTTTCAAGCAGCCAGGGCTGGGATTAGAATGGTGGTTGGCCATGTGGGACCGGACCCCAGCCACCAGACCACAGGGCCAGTCTATAATTTTTTTTTTTAGCATTATAAAAATACCTAGCATATCTGTGTGACTTTCTATATTAAAGCAGCATCTGAATTCCTGGTAGCCATATTTAATAAAACTAGAAACAGTATTTAGCCATTTTATATTTTTACCTTAGAATTTAAAGCCATTATTATTTAACACGATTTTGCTGGGCTAGATTTTACTATAACTCATTCTGAAGGTACTTTGTTATAGAGCTTGCTTCTGTCCTAAAATATATTATTATTGCCTATTTAAACTGCTTTTCAGATTCTATTACCTTTAAACGAAAGAAAGCATTGCTTTGCTTTAAAAGAGAAAAACTGTATTAATTTTGTCAATATGGCAAAAGGCTATTTTCAAAACAGATTGTTTAATGTGAAGGAACTTAATATAGAACCTATTAGAAATGAGGTACAAGGCCTTAAAAATGGTAGAGATTTTTTGTTGTTTAAAATGAAAGTCCACCCAGGCTTAGCTCAGCTTATAGCCCAAGTGAATATTTATATATGAATTTATAAATCTTAGAAATAGAGTTTTATGGAAATGCTAACAGGCCCTGAGGTATAACAGAACTTGTTTCAGGTACCACTATAATTTTCAGTGTATGTATGCTTAAAGACTTCAACACAAAAGGCTTTTTCTAATGTTGTAATTTTGTAGTTTTATTAGACTGAGTTATAGTTTGGGAGAATATTCAGAAATTGCAGCTTAAATGAGAAAACGTGAATAGTGTTACTTATATAAAATACTACTGCAATAGTTCTTTTATTAATTTTTAATGTTCAGCACCCTCTGTGACCTCCTTTATTCTCTTACTGTCAACATGGCTGGCTGGAAAAATTGAAATGGGCTGACAGAAAACACAGCGAACGTTTCAGCCCAACTCTGGAGTCTCCTGACTCTGCAGCACAGGCTAACGTGGTCCATGTTATTCAGCATTACACTAATATTTAAAGCCTTGTTTGAGAGCTCCTGATGAAAGACAGCTGTGTCTGGAGCCTGAGCAGGTGCTCCTCGTCAGCCTTCTTCTTTCTGACATTGTGAGAATGGCATTCAATTAAAAGCAAAATATAACCTTTTGTTGTTATTTTTTTATCATGGCCCATGGACACACTTCATACTCTCAAAACAGAATACCGCAGCATGTACAGAGCTTTATTTGTGTTTATTTGGCCTCTTCCAAAAGCACATTTTGGTCTGATTCAACAATTCTTTTCTCCAACAGTGGGCCACCGCTATGTTATGTATATTTACCATTTTATCTATCACCAAGGAGACTAATCCCCATACCACTACAGTCAAGAACCTAAGGTAGCATTGTCTTTTTAAAACTGAGTGTACGTTGTCACAGCAACAAAGTGCACAGGGCAAAGATACTGAACAGGACCTTGGAATTAAAAGTTCTTTTTCTTTTTTAATGCAGTGTTTGATGATAAGAAAGAGTCTTCAAAGGTGTGAGGTCTGCGAATGTCTTGTCAGCTGAACCTTAAATGCAATGCTTTCACGGTTTGGGACAGTTGTAAAAACAAGATTTTTCAAAGAGATTTCAAAATTATAGAAAGAGTGGAAACTAATGCAGACTATGAAAAATATAAAATTAAGTGGCTTATATTTTACTTGTGAAGGGCCCTAGAATTAGCCTTTAATGGTTATGGTAAGAGAACCATAACAATGAGAAATTCTGAGGAAAACACAGATCATAAGAGAACAAAATTCGTGCAAGGCCCTATCTTGGCATTTTATCCTTTCGTGAGCTTTCATATTCAATCTGTTACGTCCATCAAATTATTAGGGATATCAACCAGCAATAAGTTATGATAATTTGGGATCATAAAAACTATGGTACTCTTGCTTGCAACGTGACTTCCTGATTTATCAGCAGGATCCAAGAAAGCATAGTGCCAGGAGAGAGTAACACCTACCAGACACTCCTCCATATGTGGTCCGCTTTCCAGTACCCACTGCTGGCCAAGGCGTACCATCAGCTCTTAATCCCATCAGACCCGAGACAGTGTTGGTGGCTGTAACACCATCTGCACCACCTGTGAAAAACACATTTGCCTGCTGTTTTTAAAGACACTATGGGTGAAACCCATGCAAATCCCCACAACACAAGAAAATGCTCTCTACTTTCTTTTGAGAACATTTACTCCCTTCAAATGTTTTCAGTAATTTAACTTTTACAATTATGCATAAAATACCAAACACTGGAAAAAAGTTTTAATTACCATAACTTCATTTTCCCAATTATTATACAGACTTGTTTATGTCAAATGTTTTGTATTCAGTGTTATTTTCCTGTAATTTATGTCTTTGCCAGTCAGGGTGCAATTTTCACAGGATGGAACACAAGCACACATGATTTCTAAGGTCATGAACTGACTGCATGAGCTGTGTATTAACAGATATGTCTTGAGCATGTATTTAAGGCAGCATAGTAGGCCCAATGAAATATAAAGAAAACTAAAGACATTTCACATTGTGGAAGCTGGTATCTTTTTTTTCTTTTTGTTTTTAACCTTCATTAATGGCTCAATGCTGTTGCTGAATTATATTAGTATATTAGGAGGTCATTTACTTTGGAGTGGCTTATTGTGACTATGGTTTTGTTTTACAATTCTTTGTGTGTTAAGCAAGTGCTTATTAGGAAAAATTATAAATTATCTTGTGTTTCCAGGCCAAAGGATGGGATCCATTTACTAGCTTGAGTCCTGGTGTCAACCTATTACATTTGTGAGATCATGTGCACAATTTAATACTCTTCTAAAAAACTTAACAAATATATACACATGTGGTTTTGCAAAAAAACCCATACTTTAGTATGGCTACATAATTCAGGCCAGTATTTATTTGACTGGTTCTAGTTCTTACCTTCCTTTGCAGCTCTTGCGATGCTTACAATATCAGTGACATTTGGGGTCAACTTGGCAAAAAAGGGAACCTGAACTGCTTGCCTAACCCAGCGACAGATGTTCCGCACCAGCTCTGGATCCTGTTCAAATAGGTCAGTTAAATACAGAACATAATTAAAGAATTGTGATCAAAATGTATACTGGAACAACAGCAAGGCTGGAGATGTGCAAGACAAATCCAACTTGACAATGAGCTACAGGATATATTTCTCAGATTCCTCCTCAGTATTACACCTAGACTCATTAGGGAACTAAGGTTAACACACTTCAAGTGAACTGCAAATTCATCACATAAAGGTTACATTCCTCAAGGGAGCCTTTGGAAAATAAAATTACAAAGAACCACATGGAAGAGAGTATTTTCCACTTTTGCTTAAAAATAATATCAGAAGTGAAATATATACTTGTGATGGCAAATTCAGGAAACATTACAGAATTTCTAGTAATGTCATTGGTGTAAATCTAATTAAAAGTATATATATATAATAAATGTCTGATTCCTAGGTAAATGATAATGAATCTGGTGCTTTTTGTCTTATTAAAAAACTTAGTCTCATTGAGGCATATTCAAAAGAAAATTAATTTGCAACTTCATCATCAACCTAAATGTGATATACACTATATGCTAAAATGGAATAATTCATTTTGAATTAAAAATAAGCTACTCAGTAACTTAAGCTTACTTTTGTAAATGTTACAAAAATGTGTGTAGCAATTTCCAACACTCATTTACTTAAAAGAATTGATCAAAATGACAAAAATGAAATAAAATATCGAATGTTCAATTTAAAAAGCAAAGAATAGACATTTTTCTTGCCTGTTTTCTGTGATTTTTCAGGCTTTTATTTTCTCCTGGGACAAGTATCATTTAGAGGGCAAACACCTATCCTTTCCATTGAAATAACTGTAGCAATGTTCTTTGATTTAAACACATACAATGGTCCTTTTTTTCATTACTTTTAATGCAAAATTTATTCTGACAGGTACTGATAATGTGTTTTGATAAATTACCTTAAGATATGCAATAGCAATTCATTATTGAGCTTGGTAATATTATCTTAGCAAGTTAAAATGTTTTTTGAATAAAAGAAAAACCCAGAAAAACACAGACATATAGTTAAACTATGAAATAGTAGGCAAGTATATCATTATAATGTAATTAATATTTTTGCATTAAGAAAGTTGCTCTTTGCATTTTAACCTTTTGAATTCTTTTAAGATGCGATTTCTAATGTTATAACCTTTAGAAAGAACCTTTTCACTTAATGTGTCTTGATCCATCATTCTGTATTACTCTAAAAGTTATGCATTTATGTGCTAGTATACTGCAATGAGGTAATTTCTGTTGATTGTTATCACCTCTATTCAGCAAAACTTAATACTTTCAACAAGAAACCTTTGGATTGGCTTTTTCTCTTTTCAGAACAGTAATTTCTTCATTAAACATAAATATTAAAAAGCACTATATGGAGTGCTCTATGGGGCATACTGTGCATTATGAATAGTAAAATCTGGAGACTTAGCTGTACAAATTCTAACTCATGAAAATGGAGATCTGCCCCTGCCCATGCAATGTTCATGAAATATTTATAACCGCTGCATTGGCATTATGAAGGCAGTTGCATCTTTGTGACTTTCATTTTTAAGTTATGAATTTCCATGGGACTTAGCCTAGAAATGACAGTAACTCTAGATGATATGAATTGCATGTCCTTTGTGAAAGCTCTCTTTAAGGTAGAATTTGACAATAATTTAAAGATCACTTGACTTGCATAATACATGGAAAGTAGCATGATAAGGATGACTAAAACAAATTTAAAATATTATTTGGTTCCAGTAGAGTAAACATGAATAATCTGATAGAGGCTTCTAAGTGGCTTTCAATACTATTGACCACCTTGTCCTTATAATTTATTTGAAACATTTGTCAAACTTTTTCTGGTTAATTTCACTAGTTAACTTCTTTAAATGAATACCTCTTACTCATTGTTTAACAGTTTGGAATTTCAAAGTTTTTGGTTTCCTTAAAAAGATGTGATTCCTTGGCTACCATTATTTGAATCATCTGCCTCTATTTCAAGGTCCTATAATTTGACCCTCCTATAGTTTTATAAGTAAAGTTGATGGTGTTCAGATACATTTTTTTTTTGTCTTTACACTGAGTCAAGTCAGCCTCTGACTAATCATCATAACCAGCTGAAACACAATTTGATTAGCTGAAAAATTTAAAAACAATTTCTCACCAGAATTGTTGTGAGAATTAATGTCTGTTTTATAAATTGCAAAATTTTGTTTGACAGCTGTAACAGGGAACACTCTAATACAATAGAAATGTGGGGAGGCTGGTAACATGATAAAATGGATTCATATACTTTGGAGAGTTAAAGGATGGACTATAATATTCACACTTTCCTCATTTATTCACATGTTGATATGAACATTTAGGATCTAAAAGCAATTAGTAGTGTTTCTGCATCTTGACCTCATTTTCTATTGATAACAAGGGATAGTTTTGTCTTTCTTAACAAGCCAATTTTTAGAATTTTATTGAAATGAGCTCATCTTAGACAATTTCTAATTCTCACAAAATCTTCAGGATAGGAAAAGCACAACGATATTATTATCTTTCAGACAAATTGACGCTTTAATTTTATCAACACCAACCGAAAGCAGAGATAACATAACAATTATGGACTATTCTATTTCTAGGCACTCCAAAAATATTCGTTGTGTAAATAAATTAAAAAATAAAAACTTAACATATTTCAGTTAAATGAATAGAAACTATATACCTATCAAAATGTAGACTATATCTAGATTTAAGAAATACTTGGATATATTTATATTAAATTATGTATTACATAAGTATATAGTCTAAGAAGACTACTTTACAAACCTGGGGTAAGGTTTTCTTTCTGAAGAAAAAATATGGACAATAATGCAAAAGCAAGTAGCTTAGCAACTCAGAAAGTGTCTCATAAACAAAAGTTGTACCTAGGTCAGTAAATTTGGAGGGGCTCTAACAGTATCAATAATGTCCACCCTGACCAAGATCTGCAGTCCCTTCCCACCACAGCTTCTGTGTGTGTGGTGTATCCCTCAAAACGTATTAACCCTTCTGTTACATTCATTTGATCACCAAAGAAAGTTCTAAGGCAACAAAATGTGTTTCTGGTGATGAGAGTGTATGGGCTTTTAAAGGACAAAGACACTGAAGCCTTTAAAGGGAATAAGTGATTGGTCTGGGGAAGCAAATATTGGCTTTAGGATCCTCATAGGTGAAGGTACCAAACCATACTTGCGAAGTGCTGCAAAGGAAATAAAAGCAGACTAGAGAACAATTTGGACCCACTTAAAATTTATAATGAGAAGCAGTTCAGCATCTGCTTGCAATTAATATGCTTTGCAGTAGATTCCTATAAAAACCAAACAATGATTACAGCTTTAAATTCTAGAAGATGTAGTGCTGAGAAGAGAGCTTGCTGCAATAGGTTCTTCTGTGCAAAACTGGTTGTTTTTAAAGCCTCATTTCTTATCTGGGCCAAAAGATCGTTTTCAATTCCAGTAACTACTATGTCTCTAGTTACATATTAAGGGGGTATTATAAATGATCCAGCCTATTGCTTTTGAGGCCCATAAGATGACCTCCCCATTGTAGGGCAAGCATTTCTACCAATTACTTAGGGCATCAAATCACATTGGTTTCATGCCCTCTACAAAGGAACAAGCACTACAGAATGAGACTGTGAGAATTTCTTGATAAGCTAAATTACAAGTGAAATTTTTGACTTGAAGAAACATCTCTCTTCAATTTACCTGGTAATTTTCACTCTGTACAATTCTTTTCAAAATGACTTTCTTGGAAACTGGCATTTCAATAAATTCACTATAAAATTTTACCAGTTATAAAATGTTTTCCACTAAGGAACTCCTAAGTCTTAATTCTCATGTCATGCCAAGAAGTAGCTAGCATTTTTATTATGTCCACTTTTTGGATGGGAAGAACTGGAGCCCAGAAGATCAATCTGAGTACCAATTTCACTTTCTTAATTTTCTTTTCTATTATCATGTCCTCAACCATCATCTTTTTAGCAAAATTGCTACTTATTGTGAAATTCAGCTATCATTGTAAACTAGAGCCATAAAAGGCTTCTACTTCATTTATAACAGTAAGACTAGATGGAACTGCAAAGAAATAAACAAAAGTGATGTATTTATCTTTCTACATCAAATAGAACAGAAAGAGTTAACTACTCTTGGTAGTCAACTACTCCACGTATAATTAGTGAATGCAATGACTATGAGTTGAAATGAAGATGTATTGTTAACTTATGATTTAGCATGAATTCTTCTTGCATTTCTTTTCCCAATTTGAGTTCTAATGGGAATACATGTGAGTATTCTTTATCTAAAATGTTTGGGACTAGCAGTGTTTTCGATTTTTTTGATTTTTAGAATATTTGTATACACATAATATATCCTGGGGAAAGGACTCAGTCAAAACATTAAATATATTTATGTTTCATACATCCAAATGCATAGCCTGAGTGATTTTTTATATTTTTAGCAGTTTTGGGGCATGAATCAGGTGTGGAAGTTTCTACTTGTGGTATCATTTTGTCACTCAAAGAGTTTTGAGTTCTGGAGTATTTGGATTTTGGATTTTCAGAGTAGGGATACCCAAGCTTTATAAACATTTTGGCCAACAGTTTGCCTATTTCTTATATAAATAAACATAAACTTACCAATCAACCCAGAGAAATCTCACTCTTAATTATATACCCACAAGACTAAACACATATTTTCATACAAAGACAAACATATGAACATTTATAGAAACTTGTCAAATGGCACCATATTAGAAACAACCCCAATATCTAGCATTATATGAATTAATAACAAATGATGGTATATCCATGCAATAGAATACTACTCAACAATAAAAAGAAATGAATCACTAAATTATGCCACAACTTGGGACTTAAAATGTATATTAAGTTACAGAAGTACACAAAATAGTACATGCTACATGAGTACCTATTGATGAAATTCTACGAAAGGAAAATCTATGCATATAGAG